TGCAGTTAATATTCTCATTACAAGAGAATTTAGGACCAAAGGCATCAACCCTTTCTATCTTCTAAATCATTCCTCTAGTCATAGTCTATGAATGGGTTATCAATTACTAAATTCTCTGCTAATATATTGGCAAGTGTCATTAATCTTGAAGAGCCTTTAGGAACTGTGTTATATAAATAAAATCTTCAAGCAACCATAACACAAGCATTTCCCTTTTCTATTGGCATTATATTAGGTACGATCCTGTTCTCCCAAGCCATTTGTAGCATCCCTATGATGCTTCCTTTTCTTAAACTAGTGTCACCGGGGAAAGAGGGGTCTCCTTCCAAGCCGGTTATGAGGGAAGGGTGCATCCTCACTGGCCCATGAGCGTGATAACGCCTGTTTGGCACTCGGATATGAAGCGTAGTCTAGCACACACAGATCTTTTAATTTCTAAAAGTGAACACTAGAATAGTTTAAATTGAACCTCTCGTTTGTCTGTACTGGACAATGCTGACTTAGGAAATGCTTCCTATCTCAAAACCCAGGCAGGAGAACCGAGTCCAAACAAGTTCTAGGAAATGGAAAAATAATTGTCGTTATGTTTTCTGACTTCTGGACCGTATGTGTACACATAAGTGATTTGTCGCATGACAAAACGCAGAAAGAAAAGCCACAGGTCTCCCTGAAAAATAAATCCTCAGAAGCCCGCCTCTAAACCAGTTTCAACATAGAACTTGCCCTTCAGACCTCATTCGGCCGTGGGTTGGTGTTATTTGATGTCAATCAAGCCCAGGAGGGCGGGGCGGGGATGGCAGCAGTCACTTTGGTGGCAATGTGTTGGCTGAGAACCCGCCAATCAAATTCACAGAAGCGAAGGGGCGGGCCCTGACAATCTCGCGAGCCCACACCCGGTCCGCGACCTTTGTGTTGGAAAATGTGAGCGTGGTTTCCCCCTCTTGGAAGCCCCGGTGGCCCTTACGAAATCGCGGGTGCTGGAGATGCAGGAGAGCCATGGAGATGGTGAGCGATGCTCGCGAGGCCGCGCGGAGGGTTGGGTAGGCGGGAGACTGTGCTCCGAGGGGCGCAGGGCCAGGTCGGCTCGGCCTAGGGCGGAGTTGGGCGGCTGCGGGGATCTGGCGTCCTCGGGTGCCCCGGAAGGGAGGAGCAGAGCAAACACTGATTTTGCTTCCAGTCCTTTCCTCTGCAGCGGCCTCTCTCTGTGCAGCCAGCAGACTGCTGGAGATGGCCTGAAGGAACATCAGAAAACCCAGACTCCACGGCGGAGGTTCCTGCGAGACAGCAGCTGGGCTCCCGGGTCTTCCTCCTCCCAGAGTTTTCCCGTTTCCCCCTTGGGCCTTGTGGATGTACCGGAATAGGAGGTCAGATCCGAAACCTTTTCCCCAGCCTGCAAAGAAATAGGTGTGCCATCCCAAACAATATCAATTGATGGGTCACCGTGGTGTCAGTTTCCATCAGACAGCTTTTGACATCGTTTTTCTTCAGATTTGATGAATGGCACTTTATTATTGGTTCTTAAAAAGTTTTTGTGTCCGTATATAGTAATTATACATCCTAATGAGATTCGTTATGACGTTTTCATACATGCATATGTATTTTGAACATAGCCTCCGTTATTTCTCTCCTGCCCCCTCCCAGTATAACCCCCTTCTTTCCTAGCTGTCCTAAAATAGACAGAAGTCTATCTTTTCATGAACCAAGGAACTCCATTGGGGTTATTTACCGAGGAGTTGGTTACAGGAGCCTAGGCATCTAATTAGTGGCAACAACAGACTAGAAAATATCTGTCAACCACTTAACTGTTCACTGCCCACAAATCCTCAGAGAGGGGTGAGGCAAGGAAGTATTCTTAAGTTCAATCTTTTGCAGGTCTGCGAATTTAATCACATCTGCTGACATTTTGGGTGCAAGGGCTATGTCATTTTGTAGGAATTTGTCTTTTGTTTCTTAACAGTTCCCTCTTTCAACTGAAACCATGGGGGTTTTGTTTGTTTGTTTGTTTAAGTCGTGTCTTTTGATTTAATTTTTGTATTTTACTCTTTGTCTTCTAAGCCACAGATACCTTCGCACAATGTTTTGGTATTGAGTTTTCCCCTTACGTGATGTCCATGCTCTGTGCTTTAGTGATTTCCTGCACATGGGTCTGGCACCATGTGTCCACAACTGCTCTGTGTTTGTCTAGCACATAGTGACCACCATGCCCTCTCCTTAGACAATAGCCTGAGCTGTGAGAAGGAGCTGGATGCCCTGAGCCTGGTAGACTCTGACCTATGAAGCCCTTTTGTTGTCTGCATGTCTTAGTTGCTAAGAACAGTACTGAAGTCAACATGGTGGTATAGCCATTTCTTCAACACTATGGCTTCGATCCCTTAGTGACTGCTAGGTTATATGGTCATTCTGCTTCGTGTTTTTAAAAACAGCTGCACTGAATTTATAATTTAAACAGTTCTGTGCCCAGGTTTCCTTTCAAACACACCAATGGTTACTGGAATACTTTTTTTTTTTTTTTTCTAAATTCTCTTCTCATATTACATGCCATCTGCAGCTTCTCCTCCCTCCCCTCCACTCAGCCCGCCCCCACATTCCCTCTCTCCCAGATCCACTCCTCTCCCTTGAGGAAAGAGCAGGCCTCCCAGGAATATCAACTGAACATGATGTAATAAGTTACAGTAAGACTAGACAGATGTCAGGGCTGGACCAAGGCAACCCAATAGGAGGAAAAGGGTCCCAAAAGAGACAGAGACAGACCCTGTTCCCACCGTTAGGAGATCTACAAGAACAGCAAGCTACACAACCATAACAAATACACAGAGGACCTACGTCAGACCTTTATAGGCTCCCTGATGGTCCCTTCAGTCTTTGTGAGCCCCTGTGAACTCTGATCAGTTGATTCTGTGGTTCATGGGACACTTATTCATAATGCTGGCCTGGCACCTGTTGCCTGTGTGTGTATTGAATTACTAATTCAAGTTCTTTATTGTCAGGTAGCTATTGGTAGAATGCACTGTGAAACTTCATCCTGGAGTAAACAGCACTTGGTGTGTCTTTTTTTTTTTTTTTTTTTTCTGGTTTTTCGAGACAGGGTTTCTCTGCGTAGCCCTGGCTGTCCTGGAACTCACTCTGTAGACCAGGCTGGCCTCGAACTCAGAAATCCGCCTGCCTCTGCCTCCCAAGTGCTGGGATTAAAGGCGTGCGCCACCACCGCCTGGCTTGGTACGTCTTTAGAGTTGTAGCCCATAGAAAAATTCTCCGTCCATTTAAGCCGGAAGATGTGCTCAGCTGCCCCTTCTCCCAGAGCCTGGAGGTTCAGGATATAGTCCAATGGAAGGTGGACTACAGACAGACTCTTTCTAGGAAGGATAGGTAGACCTGGAGTCAGGTAGTATGAGCAGTTTAAGGAAAGGGCCTGGGGAGTATGTAGCTCGCATTCCGGCTTCCAGAAGCCCATTAGTGAGTAAGGCACAGGAAAGTTAGAACTCAAGGTTTATCTAGTCTGCGTGTGAGACCTCATCTCAAAGCAATAAAGACACAGCCTCACAAAGCTGGCAGTGAGGTACGTGACCCCGTAGGCTCAGGGAGCTGAGAGAGAGGGGACAAGTGGGGGCATTGAGATGTCTAGTACAAGAGCTGGCGTAACACAGATCGGGGGTCTGATTCACAGACGGGTGTGGCCTTTCTTCACTTCAACCCCAAAGCCTTTTCTTTCAAAACCTACAAACTTTGTTGCATTTCTTTTCCTTGGCAGATGCGAGCAAAAGCGTAATCAGTCTAGTTAGGGTACAGTGATCATTGTAAAACAGGGATTGCACTGAACCTGGCTTTGAAAACCACTGAATTCATTGGGTTTGCCTATAGGAGCATGGGTAACTGCAAAGCTGAGAAGTCTTATCTCATAAAGTCTGTCCAGACCATGAAGGCTGTATCATGGCATCCCACTTTAAATTAACCTTTTCACTCCTGCATTTTCTAGCATCTTCCATGATCTCGTGCAAGTGGAACGAATAAGGATGAGGTAGGCAGAGTCCCAGAGTAGAGTCCCATGATGCCCCCACCTCATTCCGTCTCTTGGGATATGAACAGCCACGTTGTCTTTGTGATAGACATAATGATTACTGTGCTTCCTTGCTTTTTCTTGTCATGCCTTCTTAACCAGAGTTAACTGCTTAACTTAGTCTTGGTTATCTCTGTCCTGTATTATGATAGTGGAAGACATAATTGTTTTATACCACAAGGGAAAAGCTACATAATACCCTCCCCTCTGGCCTTTACCACTTGTGTGGATTTTACGTGAGACGTGTGTGCTCCAGGAGCTGTGTGGCTTGCTCAGCAGCTCTGGGAGACTTTATTGTTAGCCTGCTGACTCGTGCTTCTCAGTTCAGGATTCTTAAATTCTCCCATCAGCTTCAGAGTCAGTTCTGTATACTGTTCATTCTGTGGTCTGGGGCTGATGTCAGAGAAAGAGCTGACAGTTACCTGAGAGCGACAGTGGAGAACTTGCCAGCAAGGGAAGAGGACATGGCGCTGAAGCAGAGTGAAGGCTTTCTCTGTAGATTGTAAGTCTGGAGGACTCCCTTTCTGGTTACATCTATCTTTGTGAGGTAGGGGTCTTAGCGGTCAACAGTGTTTACAAACTGTATGTGAGTGATATGTATGTATGTATGTATGTATGTATGTATGATGTATGTATGTTGTATATATGTTGTATATATATGGGATTCTGTTGTCAGTATAGCCATCATCTGAGCCATGTTCTGATCTAGGCCTACAGGTCTGTGAAGAACTGAAGAAGCACTAATAAAATGTCTCTTCACTTGAGAATGTCCCATGTGTGTGGGGATGGTCTTGATATCCATTGTAGGAGCCAACTGAGTAAACTGGAAGCTTTCACAGTGTCTCCTGCTTATTCCAGTGAAACCCTACAAATTGAGTCCCCTCTCCCTGTGTCATGGAAGTGGCTTGTAAGAAACATGAATGGATACATTTCCAAAACTGAATACTTTTACAAAGTAAGCTGGTTTATTAGCTGCTATCTACCAGGATATTCCTTGACAGCTGCCGATTAGCAAATATAGATTCTTTTATTGTAATATGCATTGTCGTTATAATTGTGTGTGTGTAATATATATATTATATTTATTATATTATATTATATTATATTATATTATATTATATTATATTATATTATATTATATTATATAATGGTTACAGAGGGTTAATGATTACAGAGTTCAAAGGGGCCTTATTGCAGCCAGAGATTAAAAAGCTGATATATATTAAAAGGCCATTGCTGGTGAAGATGTTAGCAGCCGTGGGTGTACACAGGAAGCAGTTTCATGCTGGTTCTTGTAGAAGATGAGGATTTCTTTTCAGAGACCTCTACTCTGGTGAAGCTGGGATCCTTTATCGCAGAGAGGAATTTCAGGATGAGCCAGTATGTACCAGACTTGAAGGTTGTTGGGAAGAGGTTGTTTTTTGTTTGTTTGTTTGTTTGTTTGTTTGTTTTGGTTTTTTGTTGTTTTTCTCTCTCGTGGGAAGAGGTCGTAACATAGATTTGAACATGAAGATTTATAGAAACAGGTTCTCAGAAAGGGGAAGATACACCCATGTATGGATGTAGACTTCTTCACAGTCTGTAATAATTGCCTTACAGTAAACAATTATTTTTAAGATTTCAGTGCGTTCTGAAGAAGTTGCATCTCAGAAGGTTGCCGAAGAACTTAAGTAAGATCATAGCCCAGTTCCCACTGTGCACAGATAACACAGCTCCTGAGGACTGCATGAATAATTAGTGTTTTTAATGTAAACGGCAGTTAATAATGTTTTGTGAACGTCTCAGAAAATACGTGAAAGGACTAAGGCCATATTTGGAGATTGGGTATATTTAGCTCTTAAGTGTTGTTCATTGGTGTTTCAATATTTCATTTGAAGTATCTGTATATAAAAGGAGCTTTGTCTCTGTGAAAGCAGCTTTCACAGCAGATCCTGTTCGGTTATAATTCGTGACTTTTATCAGAGTCGTCATCAAGCAGACTCCGGTTTGAGAGGCTCCTTTTGCCTTCACTATTTCCTCAGTTTCCCTCATCTCGCTGGCCTGCCCAGCTTGATATTAATGAACCCAGTAGTAGAACTGCTGGGGAAACACAAGAGCTGCCGTGAAGACACGGCTCCTTTTTACTAAGGAGCGGAATTATTCACAAGAGAGACTGTAGAAAATGTAGCCCAGAGAAAATCTGGGACTCTTTGATGATTCCTTGTCAAGTATACTGGGCGGTCATGTGCCCTTATGATGGATTCCAGGTGAGCGCGTGTCAGTGCTGTCGAATGATCTGGACTTCTAAATTAGTTTTCAGGCCCGGCTTCTCTGATACCACTTTAATATGCTCACAGTTCACAGTCTGCCTTATTAAATTGATAGTTGAGAGCCTTTCTACTTGTATGAACAGTTATTAGGTTTTTGCTTCATAGTTGGTACACAGATGAGCCACAGAGTCTTTTTGCTTTTTTCATTCAAAATGGAGTCACACAAAACAAGAAACGGGGAAGCCTTTATTTCACACATCATATTGTGACGTAGACCAGCTTGGCGTTCATACCTTGCCCCAAGACTGTGGAAACCTCACTTCCTAAAGTAACAGGTCTCATGGACCAACTCACCTCCTGATCGTGTACAATATATGCATTACTTTAAGTAACCTTGGCCTTTCTAGGCTGTTCCATGCAGAGAGGCCTCTGTTTTCCCTCCCCTCCTCTTTTCTTTCCTTACCTTCCTCTTTTTAGAATTCTCTCTCTCTCTCTCTCTCTCTCTCTATCTGTGTGTGTGTGTGTGTGTGTGTGTGTGTGTGTGTGTGTGTGTGTATGTGTGTGTGTTTATGTGTGTGTGCTTGCTTGGTTGTTTTTGTCTCCAGAGTTGGTATTGAGTACTTTGCAGAGTGTCGAATGGAAGACAGAACCACCATCCCTCTACTCACGTTCTCATAGTCTCTGTCGGTGGTAATTCAGAATGTTTCTAAAAAGCCGGGAAGGTAATTGGATCGTCACAGTTTTTTCATTTACTTCTCAGCTTATTTTGCATTATTTGGGGTCTTTCATGAGAGTTCATGATTAATATGGGTAAGCATAAATGAGTAAATTTCAGCCCCTGAGAACTGTGCCTTTCAGGAATAAAATTAAACATTTTGTCCATTGCTATCCACTTTCTTTTTTTTTTGGTTTTTCAAGACAGGGTTTCTCTGTGTAGCCCTGGCTGTCCTGGAACTCACTCTGTAGACCAGGCTAGCCTCGAACTCTCAAACTCAGAAATCCGCCTGCCTCTACTTCCCAAGTGCTGGAATTAAAGGCGTGCGCCACCACCACCCGGCTGCTATCCACTTTCTGATATGGTGACCAAAGTCATAATGATACATGGGTGTAAGTGACAAGTCCATGATGAATTCTCATCATAGGTATCATCTAAGAAACAGGCCTTCGTTCATTTCACTTCAAGAATAATGGACGGTTTCACTACCAACCTTGAACTAAACATGTCGTTTTCCAGTTGTATTTCATGTTTAGTTCTGAAACAAATCAACTAAGAAGGTTTAAGATGTGTCCAGCCTTCTAGAAGACATTTTCAACACAGTTCATGTTATAGAACTGCTTAATTAATTTTTTAAATAAATTACCAAAAAAGAATATTTTCAAACTGTAAACCTTTTGTACTGGGCCACATTCCTAGTTGTCCTGGCACTAAACGTGGTCCATGGATGGATCACACCTAGATGCCACAAAAAGAGTATGTGTCACAGACAGCTTCTGGAAGGCCCTCCTTGTTCATGGGTGACACCATGTGCAGCTCTTTTCCTTCTGTCAGCTTACCTGAAAACACAGACTGTTCAGATTGTATTTAAGACAAACTTGTTTGATGTCATTGACAATGCCATTCTTGGTTTCCTTCCTAGTTGTCTCAGAGTTTACTTTACATCTCCACAAATGATATGTTGTTTATTGAATTATTTGCTACCACATAACAATGAAATGTTATATTCTCTGAAAAGGGTAAGATAACATACTTTACATTTTGAGGAATGAAGTGTAAGCGCTTCAGAAGTTTATTGCTTAAAACACCCGAGTATTTTGTGATTTTTTTTTCCAACACTGAATATTGTCATGTAAAACTGTGGATATACCTAGGAAGCAAGTCTGACATTCAGGACTTCAAGCTAAAGAATCTCAGGGATGAAAGACAAAGAGATTCGTAGGAGAACTTGTCTCTGGTTAGAGGCTGTGGAAGCCCATATTCAGAACTTGGCAAACATTTGTTTCTCTACTTTTCTTACTTCTGGTTAGTATGGTTTCGTTTGTTTCTTTGTTGTTATTTTCAGCTACTTCCTCTTCTGTAATGAATTAGATAGACATTGTGCAGTTAATTTTCATTTTATTTCAGCTCAGTATCACATATACACAATTCTTTATCACTCTTATTTTTAGCCAAAGAAACGAATCTGTTTCCAAGTATGTTGAAATTAAACCTTGTAATACAAAACAGTTAGTAAGTGACCGAAAAGCTGCAGTTCCGCTTGTAGCTTGACATCCTTAAATACATTCTCAGTGGTGTTGTATTCTTCCTTAAATAGAATATGATTCAGGTTTGCACTGTTGGCTTCTGTAGAGTTATGGGTGGCCTTGAATTTACTCCACCTACCAAATGCTGGGATTAAAAATGCGTGTCTTCCACTTCTGGATTAAGCATACTGGGAGGTCAACCCCTGTGTGTGTGTGTGTGTGTGTGTGTGTGTGTGTGTGTGTGTGTGTGTGTGTGTGACAGACAGACAGACAGACAGACAGACTGACTTACTTTTAATCTGTTCTCAGGAGGAGCCCAGGGCCTTATATACTGTCAATCACTGGGAAATATATGCATAGCTATGGTGTATTGTTTATAGCTACTATTTTTATTTTTACAAATAAAATATAAATATTATTTGATCAGTTTTGCAGCCTTTTTAATATATTTCCATTCCCAACCTCATGTGAAGACTGCTTGAAGTTTGTTTTAGTTTCTTAACTTTACATTTCTTAAATCTTAATACTGGACCAGGTCCATTTGGTTAGAACCTATGTTTGACTTGACCATTCACCATTTTTTTGACAAAATAATGTAGGAAAGAAGAACATATAAAATTGTTCCCGTGAAAAGATTGTTCTTGCTGTGCTTCCTGTTATAATAAAATGCATGATCACTTTAAAAATCAAATTGTACCTCATGGCTGCTAATGAACAGGCTTTGGACACCGAGGTCAGCATTACTACTGAGCTGTGTCCTCAGAAACTCCTACTCCGGTCCAGAACACCTGAATGAGAATCAGCATCCATGTATATGGCTTTCTTGTCTCATTTCTTCTGTTATACAATAGATAGTGTTTTCTGTTAGTTTATACAGTGAATATTTTGATGGTAATGCTCTGCCATCTTAAAAGTCATACAGTTGCCGGGCGGTGGTGGTGCACACCTTTAATCCCAGCACTTGGGAGGCAGAGGCAGGCGGATTTCTGAGTTCGAGGCCAGCCTGGTCTACAGAGTGAGTTCCAGGACAGCCAGGACTACACAGAGAAACCCTGTCTCGAAAAACCAAAAAAAAAAAAAAAAGTCATACAGTTGTAATATTTACACCAGTTTGGTGGGCAGTGTGTCATTTACTCAGGTAAGATGTGATAGAATATTAGCATGCTATAAAAGCCCCTTGCTGAACAATTTCAGTTGCCCAAATCATTGCTGTTCTAACTCTCACTTCCTCTCAGCTGACACAGAACTCTGGTCATCTTGGGTGACACCGGAACTCTGACAGTGTGGTATTTATTTGTGTTCTTTTTTTATTTCAGGAGCAGTTGACCTTCCGCGACGTGGCCGTTGACTTTTCTGCAGATGAGTGGGAATGCCTGGAGCCTGCTCAGCAGAGGCTGTACAGGGATGTGATGGTGGAGAACTACGGAAACCTGGTCTCTGTGGGTGAGGACAGCATCCCTGCAGAGCTCCCAACTCACTGCCGCCACTTCATCCCTTTCCTTTCAAAAATGTCTGCTGTAGCCTGTGCTTCCCATAGCCGATGCAAACTTGAGCTTTAAGGAACAGTTGTGGGATCCTTGACATACATAAAAGATGTTCCCATTTATTCTTGTCGTTGTCCTTTTGCTCTTTCTGGAGTCACTATACAGCCTGCCTTTACAGTAGTGGTAACTGCAACAATTCTATGGCACAGAGCATTCTGATCTACATATTAAAGTCTAGTTTCTCCTCTTCGGCTTTGATTTGACTGTAGTCAGAAGTGGAGCTCAGCATTTGCGAATTGAACGTGTTGTCTTACATGTCTTTTGAGAAACCAGTTTGTACCAGTGTTGTTCTTGAATCCTCTACCGAATCTCTTCTGTTGAGCACAGTACCGAGACAAGTACCTCAGTTGTTACAGAGGCAACCGTAGTATAGGTCATGTCCTTTTTTTGATAACTAAGTCTTACAGTCTCTAAGTCATATCTGGTTACCTGTCTAGAAACACACAAAAGAGCATTGGGACGTAAAGTGACCAAAGACAGTGTTCCCAGGTGGGTAGGTAGGTAGGTGGGACCAAATGAAGCAGTGGCAGTGTTGCCAAGTGGGTGGGTAGGACTAAGTGAAGCAGAGGACTCGGGTGAGAAGGGCATAGGTCCAGGAGCACTCTACAGTGTTGTATAATACTGCACTGTGTGAGTATTCCAAATTGTCTTTATCTGTGGTTGTCAGGGATCGGGTTGCTCTCACTTTGCTGTTATGAATAATGCTGCAGTTAACCTTAAGGAGAAATAATGTCTTCGTTTGGACATCACATATTTATTATGACACCCTTTGGTACTTACTTCTCTTCCATGGTTGATGTCCATTGTTTCATTACAGTCAGAAATGAACTTCAGTACTCTCCCGGCTGTTAGGACCTTTGTTATGTCCTACCAGATAATGCAGGTTGATGTTTGTTTGTGTCTGTAAACCTAATTGTTTATAGTATTTATCAGGATTTGTTTCCTGATGAGTACTCTATCCAGTTTTGGTTTACAATATGAAAAACAAGGATGTAGAATCAATATTATTCTAGTGCTTTCAATATTTCACTTCAAATCTCAGTGCTTATATTGTATATTTGACCAATAGGAAGTGAATTATAATGTGTTTATTGCAATTACATTCTCCTAGAAAAATGGCCATTTGTGTTTGTCTTTGCTATAGTTTCTATGACTTTGATAAAACACCATTACCAAAAGCAGCCTGGGGAAGGAAGGGTTTCAGTGTACAGTTCCGCACCACAGCATGTCACTGAGGGGAGTCAGAGCAAGAACTGAACAGGGCAGGGACGAGGAGACAGGAAAGGCCCATGCAATGGTGCAGCTTCCTGGCTTGCTCCTCTTGGCCTGCTCAGCCTGCTTTCATATACACTGCAGGACCACAAACAGTGGGCTGGGCTCTCCCACGTCAGTCATTGGGCTGGAGAATGCTCCCTGTGCTTAGTCACAAGCCAGCCTTATGGAGCTGTTTCCTCCCTTGAGGTTCCCTCTTCTCAGAAGACTCTAGCTTCTGTCTAGTTGATAAAGAAAAGGGGAAAAAAATGTCAGTGTGGTTATTTGCTTTCATTAGAGTTTCTAACTTAAATTGCATCTTATTTTCACATCTTTTTTTTCTGAAAGCGTATTTTTTTACCATAATTATGGCCATATCAGCTCTCTTAGGACCCTTATCTTATGATTTTTAGGATACCAGAATCCTTACATCTGAGTCTCCTATGATACAGCATAATTTTCTTCACTTTTTTTTTTGTTTGCATTGACAATGTAATCTGTAGTCCATACAACTTTTCTTTACACTTATATTTCTCTTCCCTGTGATATTATTGATAACACAGCTGTTTTGTTTTGGAGTGTGTCAGTGTATATTGACAGGTTTATAATTAAGCTTTTGCTTTTGTCTTTTAAATTCTATTCAGAAATTAAAAGTGTGTTGTGCATCCATGGAATTTGATTTCTCTGTATTTGATTTTCCACAGAGCTTTTCAGTTTTATTATTTGTGTTGCCTCGTAGTACTAGGGAAGTCTTGTGGTGGTGGCCATTTACAGTGTAACATTTACATTTATCCTTGAATGCCTGTATTTTTCCTTGACTTAGAAGAGTGGGCTGGTTGGGTGCAGTATGTTTTAGCCTTTGTTCCTTCAGCACGTTCACTGTGTTTTCCATCTTATGTCTGGATTGCAGTGCTTCTTTTAAGAGCTCGTTGAGGTCATGTTAGTGCATCATGGAGAGAGGCCACATCACTCTTACTCCTCTTAATATTACCTTTGTGACTTGAGTCTAATGCATGGGTCATTTTTACTCCCTACCTCTCAGCATGTAGCAACTAATTAAGGTGCTTAAATTCTGATGTTTTCTTCATCATATTCCTAGTTTTCTACCATTATTTCTTACTAAATTCATCACCTATTTTATCTGCTTATAACTGTTTATTTCTTTGCCCACATTCTCATTTTCTTGATTTTAGTATTTTATCATCTATTGTCTTTCAGATGGTTGTTTCTGGGTATATAATTCATGTAATCGATTTTTGAATGGTGAATTTGCAGTATTTTTCATATTCTTCCCACTGAGTCAGTCATCTTTGTCTACTGTGTTAACATTCATTGGAGTTCGTCTGTTAAAAAAGTATCAGCAGCAGATTATAACAGGCGTTGGAGGTGACGCATAGAGGCAGCTTAAAAAACTGAACATGCATTTGTTCCAGCAAAGCCCAACAATAGTAAATCACTCTATCAATAAGACCACCAATAGAGTGCTTAACGCAGCATGATTTGTATTAGCTAAAATAAAAGTTAATGTCAGTACAAATGCATAAATGATTCAGGGGTTTAAAAGAGAGCTTAGGGTTTAAACCGTTCTTGTTGAGGGCCAGTGTGGGTTCCCAGTACCCACGCTGAGTAGCTCACAGCTGCCTGTCACTCTAGTTCCAGAGGGATCTGATGCCTCTGGTATTCACAGTCATCTAAACTAACACACACACACACACACACACACACACACACACACATACACACCCCTCTGGAAATACTAAAAAATATTTTAAAAAGATTTTGTGGTCCGTATGCACAGTGAATTAATATTCGGCAATATAAAAGAAAGTCAAAATCACCTAGTTTTATGCAGCTGGGTAAAAGTGCAGGACTTAATATGAAATCAGGCAGACACAGGACATGAGCATCCTAATGTGCAATCTGTAAAGTTAATCTCAGAAGTGAAAAGTGAGTGCAGGTGGGTACATGACCAGTGACTGTCGGCTTGGGGGATTGCTGAAGAGTTAGTGGCCAAAGATGAATATTACTAAAATAAGCATAAGGCTACTAGACTATAGCTATTTATTAAAGATCTAGACTTAACTGAAAAAAGAACAATATAGGCATGAGAACATTCAGAATTTTATAGATCATGATTATATTTAATATATATCTCTTGAACTACTAGAGAAATTGATGGTAAATGTTTAAGTACAAAAATTATTATTATATGAAATGATAATGCGTTAAGTAGATACAGTCATCCCAGGATAAATATATACTTAAAAATAGCATGCTGTACATGGTAAGTAGATTATTTTTCAATGAAATCAACAAACAGTAGTAATTTTTTAATATTCAGAAAGTTACTTTCTTTTCTCTACAGGATGTTTTCATTCATGCTTTTGATTATTGAGGACTCCAAAACCTGTCCTTGGGAGACAAACCTGTTTTATTGAGTTATGTGTCCTTATTCAAATTTCACTCGCTAACATAGTCTTTCCCCCTGGTGACAGTTCGGGGTGCCAAAATAGTATTTGCCTTTGGTCTCAGTTTTACAAAACTGTTATATGAAATGTACCTGGTATCTCCTACTACCTGTCATTGCAGATAGTCAGGTATCAGACTAAAAAGAAGTCTTCTGTCTCATTTTTTTTTTTTTCCTGATAGAGATGGAGATTTGAATTTTCCTAATTAGCTATGCTATATAGGGAAAAGAAGAACTGTGTTTGACAGAAGTTTGTTTTGAACTGTGTTTGACAAACTTCACTTCCTGCTACAGTGATGCTGCTTGGCTTTGTGCTTACTTGAGGTGTTGTGATTCCTTACCTGGTTATGGGAGGGTGTTCACGTTTAATTTTGTCATTAAGGTGTTTTGTTGTTGTTTTGGTGTTTTATCAGTTTTTTTTTGTTTTGTTTTGTTTTGTTTTTGGTTATTTGTTTCAGCATGGTTTGATTTGGGGGGGCTTGCTGTTTTGGTTGGGTTTTTTTGTTTGTTTTGTTTAAGTTAACTTTCAACCTTTGCTACTGTGATTTCTCTAGTTGTTTCAAATGTGGAACTCCAAATGTTCCATTCTACTATAACTTCACATGTATTCATAAACTGTAATCACTAGTATCTATTAAATTAATTTGTATTTATTTATATTTATTTATTTCAGCTCTTTCTCATCATTGTACCCAGAGCTTTTCACCAGAACAGATCCTAAAATACTCCTTCACAAAAGTGACTCATGGAAGTTGCGGCCTTAAGAGTTTAGACTTAAGGGAAGAGTGTGCAAATGTTGATGAGAATAAAGGAACAGCAGCCTACCGTGGTAGACACAAGCAGTGTCTGCTCACAAGCAACACCAAAGATGCCATTGACAACAGAGATCAAGAACAGAAAACAGCTCTGAAAAAAACTCGTGCTAGGCCAGATACTTTTGATGAGCCATTTGTCTATAACTGTAAATACCCACAGGAAACTTTGCAGCATGGCATAACTTTAATAGAAAGTTTGGAAGATCTGATAGATAGATTAATGTTTCATTCAAACAGTTCCTCGGACAAAGAATTAAAAAACAGAGGACTGATCTCTAAAAGTGATCAAGTCGAGTCTTCCTATCCTGAAAGATCCTTACTCTTTAGTCAGCAAATAGCTGTCTCCTGTGGCCAGAAGCACAATTCTAATGATTGTGGATTGCCTGCTACTGATCCATTATTGCATAGCCAAAATCAAGATACAGATGTTTGGGAAACCCCTTACGTGTATAAGGAAACTAGCAAAGATTTCAGTAGTGGAACTTTACTAAATAATTGCAATGATGTGATTATCTTAGAGAAATCTGGTCAGTGTAACAAAGCGTATAATGACTTTGATCATTGCTTGAGTCCCGACGAACAACAGTGTACTCTTCCAAAGCAGCTTTTTAATTGTGATGATTTCTTTACTCAGTGTTCAAAGCTTACTATCCATCAGTGTAACTATATTCAAGATAATTGTTACAAGAGTGTAGATTGTGACAAAATGTTTAATAAAACTTTAAAGGTTACTAAGCATAGAAATCAGCATTCCCAGAAATCCTACAAATGTAATGAGTGTGGCAAAGCCTTTAAATATTGCTCAAGTTACAGAAAACACAGAATAGTTCATACAGGAGAGAAACCTTACAAATGTAAACTGTGCGGAAAATCCTTTACCCAGTGTGCAAGCCTTAAAAAACATCAGAGGATCCACACTGGAGAGAAACCCTACAAATGTGAAGAATGTGGCAGAAGCTTTAACCACTACTCAATTCTTGGTCAGCACCAGAGGATTCACACAGGAGAGAAACCCTACAAGTGTAAACAGTGTGGGAAGTCCTTTACTCAGTGTTCCAGCCTTCAGAAACACCAAGTAATCCACACTGGAGAGAAGCCCTACAGATGTGCAGAATGTGGCAAATCCTTTACCCAAAACTCAACCCTTAGTCAGCACCAGAGAATTCATACTGGAGAGAAACCTTACAGTTGTGAACAGTGTGGAAAGGCCTTTACCCAATGTTCAAGCCTTAGAAAACACCAGAGGATCCACACTGGAGAGAAACCCTACAAATGTGAAGAATGTGGCAGAGCCTTTAACTGCCGTTCATCTTTCACTAAACACAAGAGAATTCACACAGGAGAGAAACCTTACAAGTGTAAAGACTGTGACAAAGCTTTTATCCACTGCACCAACCTTATTCAACACCGGAGAATCCATACAGGAGAGAAACCATACAAATGCAATGAATGTGGGAAATCCTTTAGTCAATGTTCAAACCTTAGAAAACATGAGAGAATTCATACATCATGAGTAAAACTAACATGTAAAGAATCTAGTAAACCTTTTATTCATAGTCAAAAACTTGTGTAATGTCCTATAATTCAACTGGGTTGAGTCCTACAGAGGCAGTGAATGTAACAGTCTGACTGACTGTTACTTATAAGTCACTATCAGAGAATTCTTCCTGGGGAGAAACCCTACAAGTGTGAACAATGCCAGATTCTTAAGGTTTATAATCCTTTACCAGACACCACAGAATTCACTTTAAAAAGAAACACAATTTTTTTTTTAAAGCATGGAAAAAATTTAATTGTTGGCCATCTCTTCCGAAAGTTTGAATTCTCAGATGAGACAAGAACTGGCAAATGTGCAGAACCAGACAGTTCCTTATAGCTGTTCAATTTTTAGTAAACAGAAATTCACACCCGAGACAAACCCTACAAGTGTAGAAAAAGTGACAGGCTTTTACCATTTTGCACACCTTAACACCAGAGTTGATACTGGAATGGAACACTGCAAACATACCTGTTTCAAAGCCTTTACATCAAGGGACAAAGCTTTGTAAAGAGAACATAGTAAAAATTTCAATTTTGTCCCAAGTGCGCGGCTCAAAGAACAGTACAATGTTTATATTCTGTGCAAGCATAAGAAGTGTAATAGAGCCTTGGTCAATATATAGGCTCTTAATATAATTGATAATAAGAAGTCTACAAGTATAAATGTTCTAAAAACCTTTGGTTTTCTGCTTAAAATTTACACTATTAATTGTTCTTGTGGAAACTGGCTCTTAAAGCTCTCATGGAATACTGTCAGCTCCCTCTCAAAACCTTGGATTGTATCATGTATTAAAAGTTTCTAAATACGCTCATGAAAATGAGAAAGCGCCATTTTTACATATATCAGAAGAACAAGGCTCATTTATAACAAGCACTTATAAAGAGTGTTTTTCCTTATCCAAGAGAAAGTGCTAGATAATAAATATTACCGATGCATTCATGGGCAATGATGGGATTCTATTAATCATTCACTCCCAGGATCCTCAAGTGATTTTTCCTAAATGGGCGTGATGTGGCAGGCTGAAAGGCTTCAGAGTATTTGTGAACTGAGACTGCCACCTTCCCCGGATGGGAGGGAGAAAAATACCCTTGAGGTTCTCATGCAGTGCCACCCTCTAATTGTGGCCAGCTCCAATACAAGCATCCCCTTGCTGAACATCCAGTCCCTGTTAGATACAGTAAACTCCGCATGCCAAGAATGAGAGCAATGCAGAGGTCTTGGTGTTTCTTGAACAGACTGAAGGGTGATACCAATACAGCAGCACAATATAGAATAGTTGCTGCTGCTACCGTCTGAAGTCAGCCAGCCTGGTGTAACACAGGTTCAGTCCACTGGCAAATATACATATGACTGTTCTGGGGTTGGTCCCACCTGCAAGATTCACTACTAAACCAGGAGGGCATACTACAGGGTCCACAAGGGAAGGATGCCAGGGCTGCATAAGCACCTGAGATTTGACTCCATTAGCCCAGGTAGTTTTGCACAGGTGAAAGGAACTTGTCGGAAGTGTAAAAAGCCACCTGCTTGAAGAAGCTTCAACTGACCTTTTCTCACAGCATGCAGCAAGGTATCAGCGTTGTTAATTTTTCCGTCTAGGGAGGAGTGGAGACACAGGTACAGGGAGGGAAGGATCCAACAGTCATCTGACTAAACCCTGATGAATGGTATGCAGGATCTGGCTAGGTTAGGTGAAGAGGTTGGATGTGGAATTAGATGTGTCTGTATGTTAGGATAAGGCTACAAGGGTCCTGACCTGAGCCTCAAGGTTTGTGGCATCCCAAGTGGTGCTTAGTCTATGTTGAGACACTGGATGTGAGACTTAGTCTTGATAGATGGTAGACCATAGAAGGTGGGGTCCATAAAAGGCAATTAGGCAGAGTGAACCAGGCTCACCATGGTGAAGAGTTTGTAGGATCTAGTTGGCCAGAGATTGGATGTAACATGGGGAGGGAATATAGTTGGAGAGTAATTAGCAGGAGTCCTCCAGGCTCTAAAGTTTTGTGACTTAGAGCACATCCTGCCTGCTCCGCCCCCTGCTTCCTGAGTGTTGAGCCAGCTTCATGCTCCTGTACAAAGTAGACTACACCTTGGAAATTATTTCTCCCTTAAGTTATTTTTATCTGGGAATTGTATCACAGCAACACAAACTAATAAGGTCCTCATTTCAAGGATCCAGAAAAAAACAGTTCAAAGACATTTGCCCTTTTAACAAAAAATTAAATAGATAGATATAGATAGATAGATAAATAAACAATGTTTTCAGTATTCATAAATATGAATTACATTCATGATAAATGAAGTCCAGGCGGGTTCAACCCTTTAAAGTTGCAAAGCTTGAGAAATTTCCTTGCATGGGTTGGCAGGATGGGTAGAGTCATCTGCCTGTGACTCATGTTAATTAGAATTTAGCAGAAACTAGGAAGTAAATCCGTTAGCCTCAGTTCTAATAGGGATGAGCATATGTGTGCTTGGCAGGCATTTTTTATTGCTTTTTCTAGCATCAGGAACAAGACAATGTAGGAAATCATTGGAAGGGCTAAAGTAGTGTGAAAAGTGAGGTCTCATTTAGCTGTAAAGGTTGGTCTTTATTTTTTTGTGGTATGTGAGTGTGGCATGTATGTATGTATATGCATTGTGCATGTGTGTGGCACCCACAGAAGTTGAAAGGGACTATTCTATACCTTGGAACTGAAGTTACAGATCATTATGCCATGTGAGTGCTGGGAATCTTCTGAAAGAGCAGCAAACGCTCATAACTACTGAGCTATCTCCCCAGCTTCTATGTTTTTGAATAAAATGTTGCTTGTTGATTTGTTCTTGGTGATGTTATTGAGGGCCACAGTTTACTAACAGAGGTTTCTTTGTTCTCATCTTGACATTCAACACATTTAATCTTATTTTTCCATGACAAGAAAAAGTTAAATGTGAAATTGAATAACTGAGAACACGGCGTTTTTATATTCATGAGACATAGTGTATTTGAGCAGATATTTCAGTGTCAATATCCAGAAAGAACATAAAATGAGGAAAAAGATAAAACAGCGAGTTATAGAAGCTATTTTTCACTTGGGCAAATATGTATGATATTTTGTGGGTTTTGTACTAATGTGTCGTTGGACACATTAATGAAGATTGGTATTTCCACACATGTATACATTGTATAGTCCTCCAACCAACTCTAAAGTATATGAGAGAAGCATTCAAGACGAGTTATCTCACTCCTCCGTACTTGGGATCTCCAAGAATAAACTAAGAATTTTGTTGTCTCTGGGAAAAGAACAGTTAAGGAGGTGAAGCCTGATTCATGGCTGTGGTGCTGCAAATGCAGGATATTAAAAGTTGGCCTCTCTGTGGTCTAAGTTTTATAGTAAGTCATACTGTTATGAAAGCTAAAGAAAGGCAAAATTAATTTTGTCTAAGAAGTCAATTTGAAACTGGTAAGTTGTTGGCTAAGAACATTCCAAGACTTGGATTCTGATATTTCAAGTGAAAGCCAATGATAACAATCTGAAAGATTTCTCTATATAAAATATGAATCTCATGTGCCAATGAGTTTTCTGAGTAGTTTGCATTAAAACAGGTACACTGCTACATGCTTTGTTGTTAGTTTGTGTTGGTTGTCTAGCTTTATTTTCTAGCACTTAACCGTTTGTTTTTATGAGACCAAATCAGAGTGCTTGGAGAAAGTTGAAAATATTTTTTGGAGAGTGGCAGCAAGGTAGATATGGAAAAAGTATCCACATGGCAAGTAAATAAAATGTCTAAAGTAATAAGCAAATCTGAGTAAGACCAAATTGTTGGAACAATATGCTTTATCTGTAACTTCTGTGTTCGTTACTTTTTCTGTTACTATGCTAAAGCACTGACCTCACACCTTTTAAAGGTTTACTAGAGCTTATAGGCGCAGAGGGTTAGAGTCAACACTGGCAGGGATACCATAGTAGCAGTTGGCAAGCATGGGAAGCTGAGAGCTCATGTCGCGCTATAAGCACAAAGCAGAGAGACTGAGCTCTGAAAGCCAGCCCCAAATGGCAGGCTTCCTCACAGGTAGCTGTTCACCAAACAATGCCACCAACTGGGGACCAATTATTTAAATATGGGAGCATTTGGAGGACATCTTTATTCAAACATAAACACTCTACTCCCTGACTACCATGAGCTGCTGTCTGTATCATAATGAAAAATGGTGCATTTAGTCCAACTCCCAAAATCCCCATAGTCTTTCCAGGATCCAACACTGTTTACAAGTCCAAAGTGTCTTCTGAGACTCAAGATTTTACTTAATTGTAAACATACTGTCAAAACAAACAAAAACATACTTCCAATATATAATACTACAGAATATATATTACCATTCCAAATGGAAAGAATTTGGGCATCATGGGGAAATAACAGACCGAAGCAAGATTGAAATCCAGCAGACCAATTACTAAATCCTATAACTCCGTATTTGGGACTTTAATTTCAAAGAGCTTAGGTAGCTTCAACCTCCACCTCTACTGCCTGCACCATGCACTCTTTCTTGAGCTCCTGACAGACATCTCATGGTTCTGCCCTGTCTCACATCCTAGGGTCTCCAGTACAACCCAGACTTCACTTACACATCTTTATACAATGGCGTCTCACAGCCGCTTGAAGACTCAAGGGCTTCACACAGACTCCTTTTCACCTGGCTTCAGCAGCTCTCTGAAATCATGGAGAAAGAATCCATGAACCCTTCACTTGTGTATCTTTCATGCCTTTAAAGACAGCAGTATGTAGGAAACACTGCCAGGTGGAACAGCCAGCTTGGGAAGAATCTTGCCCCTCTTCAATCACATTAGCAGAAGTGGTTTTACTCAGTTGCTTTTCAGAAGCAGAAGATGCTTTAGCCCAGTGGTTCTCAACGTTCTTAATGCTGTGACCATTTAATACAGTTTCTCGTGTTGTGCTGACCCCCCAACTATGAAATTATTTCAATGCTACTTCATAACTATAATTCTGCTACTGCTAGCAATTGTAATATAAGTATCTGACATTCTGTATATCTGGTATGTAAACCCTATGGAAGGTAGTTTGGCTCTCTAAGGGGTCACAATCCACAGGTTGAGATCTGCTGCCTTAGGGTGCCTTTCACAAATTAGAACCTTAGCTGAGTAGGCTCTTAACATGAGCACGTATTTTCCTACATGGACCTTTAGAGCAGGATACCTCTCCATTAAGGTTCTAATTTTATCTCCTTAGGCGCTTGCTTTGGCTGCAACCTTGAGTTTCAGGTACTCTTTTTATCTTCAGAATGTATTTTTTTATTTTTTTGAGTGCTGCTTCCTCTTTTTCATTGTAGACCTGCATATCAGTCATTCATAATAGCCATGCCACAGATTCAATAGTCTGCCACCTAGAAATTGCATCCACCAAGAAAATCAGTCCATTACTTTTTGATTCACCCTAGAGCAAGTCCTTAGGAGGAGAACAAAGAGTGACCAGATTCTTTGCCAAAACAATCATAAATGGCCTCTAGCCAAGTTTTTAAAATAACTTCTTCCCTCTGAAACCTTTTGACAAGCCTCTAAAGTCAGCATTGCTGTATAAATTTACTGTCTTTCAGGCTCCCACTAAAATGTCTATTTAAACTCTGCTTACAGCTTATAGTGTTCAACTGCTTTCTCATCCAAGGGTCCAAAGTCTTCTACAATCCTTTAAAAACCCTACATGGGGAGGTTCCTCACAACAGCAGCCCATTCTCTGGTACCACCTTTTTTTTGGGGGGGGTATAATTTATTTACAGTTCAGATGTCATCCCCTTTCTCTATCCCCCCCCATAAACCCACTATCCCA